AACAGAAGTTTTCTTTTGATTTTTATGGTAGAAGTAGCTAAATTCAGTACAATGGCATATGAAAAATCAGATTTACAGGTTTTAGAAGAGGCCAAAAGTGAATCATCAGATTACTCATGCATGCATGATGAAGATGATAATGACTGAACGTTGGCCATGTGAGCCAAAGGTCCTATGACAATGAAATGAGCAAGAATCGACTGATACAGACACAGGGAATGCAGGCCTCCTTAATTCAGATGATGAAGAAAACAGCAGTGAAAGCTGAAATACAAGTAAAATGTTCTGTATGTACCAATAGCCATATTCAAAAATGTATTTATTATGACACCTCACTAGCTGAACTGAAAGCACTCATAGATCTACTGTACTTATGGATTTCTCATGATTATCACAGGAATGTAAAAGACTTATGGGAAAGTGATGGATCAAAATATGGCATAAAATTATGTCCTTATAGATGTGAAGACTTATTATGATTTCAATTTAGACATTTACCTAGAAACTCAGCCACAAGGTCCTTATTCATATAGTAATAAACACATGATGTTGTGAACAGACTTGTTGCTCCCATCTCCCAAACTAATTGGAATATGACATTCAACAATTGGTCTACCAGTTTCCAATCAATACTACATTTGCTAACAGAGCACAAGTCGACCAGTGTCAGAACTGTACCCAGGAACAAAGCAGAAATTCCAAATGAAATGTTGCAATTTCAAAAGCGAGAATTCTATAGTACAATCTTTGGATTTCAGAAAGATTTACACTGGCCTCATATATGGCAAAGAAAAATAAACTGGTACTGCTGATCAACATTGCATTATGATGGAAATATTGATAGAGAAACCTCAACAAAACAGAAGCCTGAGATGGAAACTGTCTACAACAAAACCAAAGGCAGAGCAGGTACTGTCAATGAGTTATGCAGCAACTATGATGTCACGCAAAACAAAGCACTGGCCAGTGGTTATGTTTTACTCGATCCTAAACAGGTGTGCTATAAATAGTTTGATAGTTTAGAAAATAACAACTGCAAAATACCTGAAGAAATTTTCTTAGAAGATTGGGACTGGAACGCATAAGAGATCATTCACAGCAGAGGAAAAACAAAATGTTTCTGCTCAGGGAACTATGCAAAAAAATTATGCAGTGGGCCGGGGATTTAGCTCAGTGGTTCCAGAGCCTGCCTCGAAAGCACAAGGTCCTGAGTTCAATTCCCGATACCAAAAAAAAAAAAAAAATTATGCAGCACGTTGGATAGCTGACAGGTGAACAGGCATGTGCAGCATCAAAAACACCTATACAACAATAGGAAAACAAAAAGATGTCAACTGTGCCCTACAAGAAAGGACAGGAATAGAAAACATATGTGCTATCAGTGTAATACTTGTGTATGGAGCATGCAGTTTTCATGTGTGAAGACTGCCTTGGGTGTGACAGTTGAAGCAAAGATTATTTTTGTTATAGAGTTCTATTGGTATTTTTCATTGTAATTCATACGGGAATTTATTTCTGATGTTATCTTTTAGGTTTTGTAAGCAGGTACACAGCTGATGTGAAAATGTTGATGTCTATTTTAAGCACTCATTACATATTTCATATTTTATTGATCTTATTTTCCTGCTGAGTGCACATTGTACAATATAGGAATGTAGGAAGCTCCTGACAAACAGGAAGAGAAGACAGGTGACAAGAACGGCTTGCCACATAGGAAAAGAAAACTAGGCACATATGCGCTCAGTGTAAGCGAGATGTGTGCATGGAACTTGCAGTTGTCATGTGTGAAGACTGCCTCGGGTATGACAATTGAAGCAAAGTTTATTTTTGTTGTAGAGTTCTACTGACACTTTAATTGTAGTTCATATAGGAATTTATTTCTAATGTTATTAGACACTCAAGTTTCTGTGCCTTTACAACAAAATTTATATTATTCCCCTCGGGTATTTGGTCCCATCTCTACAAGGCTAGACTGATTCTGCTTTGCCATATTCACAAAATGCAGTGTTATCAGTTATTGTGAAATGATATTCACTTTATATATCCTTCTTTATGATGATGTTCATGGAAAAAAATTATGTTCTTGATACCAGAGATAGGTGTACTTCAATACATAACTACTGCCTTCTACCCTTTGGATAATGAGTCATATAGCTGAAAAATGTTCCCCTTTTATAGTCACTGTGGAAAAAAAGGGCTTAAAACAATTTGTTGGATAAATAAGTATGGTATGTTCATACAAAAAAAATCTTATTCATAAAAAGAAATTAAGTACTGATGCATGCTACAACATGAATGAACTTTGAAAACAGTATGCTAAGTGAAAGAAGCCAGAAAAGGCCATATATTATATGAGTCTGTTTATATTAAATGCCCAGAATAATCAAATTCATAGAGACAAAAGGTAAGTTACCCGCTGCCAGGTGTGGGGAAAACAGAAATAGGGAGTGACTGTTAATGGGTACAGGATTACTTTTCTGAGTAGTGCCAATATTCTGGAATTAGAGAGGGGTGATGGTTACACAACTTTGTAAAAATACTGAAAACCAGTGAATTGCACACTTTCAAATGGTAGTATGTAAAGTGTATCTCAATGTTAAAAAATTATGGCATCTTTGCTTCTACCCATTAGGAAGTAAAATGTAAGAAACTTACCCTTCTATGAAAAAAGACCCTAGAAAATTAGATTAAATGATTATTTTCAAATATTAGGCCATAAGTAATACAGACTATTACCCCTTTAGGGAAAAAACCAAGTTGAACCATAACTGCCATAGCTTTCTACCTTGCAACAATTTGTAGAAACAGTAAAGGGAAGGGAACTCCAATCAGAACCTGGTAATCTAGGTGAGTTAGAAAGAGAATGGAGTTCCTTCAGGAAGGCCAAGGTGACAGAGCTAGGGCAGAGTACCAGACAAAAGGAAGTTACACAGAGAAATCTGCAGAACAATCCTTTTGAGTGGCTTGCTGAGTATCAGTCTGTGCATGCCTCAGCTAAAAAGCCATGAGGTAGGGCAAAGAACAAATATTGGGAAAGGAATAATTATTGGGAAGCTGTAAGTCAAATAATTCCAAGATCTTACACAAGGTTAGAAATCACTCAGTTTATCACCAGAAGAAACCAAGTTGAGTACAGGGGTGTAGTTCAATAGAAAAACCAACACGGCTTCAATTCAACACATCCTAGAAAATTACAACAATCAAAACAGTGCATTATTGGTACAAAAATAGACATATCTTACTACTGAGGAAAAAGCCTAGGGATAGGTCACACATTTGATTGGTTTTTTTTTTTGTAAGAGTTTCAAAGAAACTGATTAGGGAAAGGATACTCTTCTACAAATAGTGCGGAGACAACTTCATGTCCTCTTGGGAAAGAAAATAAACACTGACCCATACCACACACTATTTTTGTTTTGTTTTGTTTTGCGGAACCAGGGATTGAACTCAGGACCTTCTGCTTGCCAGGCAGGCGCTGGCGCCACTGAGCTAAACCTCCAGCCCTCCTCACACTATTTTTTTTTAAAGTAACTACATTGATCATAGACCTAAACATAAAAAGCCAAATCTATAAAACTTCCAGAAGAAAACAGGAAAAAAACAAGGTAACTTTTGTACTCTGAGGGACACAGTTAAGAAAAGGACAAGCTACAGAATTAGAGAAAATATTTGTCATATATATTTTTGCCAAATAACCTTAACCCAGAAAACAAACAACTTTTACAACTAAATAATAATAATAGAATTGCTCAAATAGTATAAGTTGGGCAAGAAATTTCTTGACATAGAATACAACTGGCCAATAAGCACATAAAGAGATACTCAGCATTGTTAGTCATGAGGGAAAAAAATCATAATACCCTTACATGTTTACTAGAAAGGTTACAAGTTAAAAGACTAACAATATTAAGTGTTGAGAAGGAAATGAAACTTCTCAAACATTCATGGTGGGAATGTAAAGTGTAAAACATGCTTTGGATAATTTGTTATTTTTTTCGTAAATTTAAAGAAAACTGCCACATAATCCAGCAATTCCACTCCTATGTATTTATCCACAAGAAATAAAAACAAAGGCCCACAGAAAGCCATTTCATGGATACACATCCTGTAGTGTACAGTATTTCATTGTAAGAAATATTACTCCATAATAAAATACAGCAAATCAGGGACACAGATAACATGGATGAATTCCAAAAACATCAATACTAAACAAAAGCAGTTACACTCAAAAAGATAGTTACATTCTCATGATTATTTTTATGACACATTAAAATGGGGAAACTTATAATGAAGGAAAGTAGATCAGTGATTACCAGGTTCTGGGGTTGGGTACTTACTGAAATGGGGCATGAGGGAATGATTTAACAGGCTAGAAATGTCCTAACTCTTGATTATAGTAGTGGTCACGCAGCTTATCTACTGGCCAACATTCAAACTGCACACTTAAAATGGGTGTAGTTTATTGTATGGAAATTATGGCTTCATGCAAAATTGGTGTATAAAATTCTTTATGACAAGAAATTGGAAGAGAAAAACACACTTTCGTGTTGTTTTTAAAGTAACTTAATGTATGTCAGTGCTAAATACTGCTGAGTTCATTACAAGTGAATTAGATTAACCTGAACAAGCTTGCTGAAGTAAGAAACATTCAAAAATAACCAATGACTGCTTCCTTTATTTTTACTACATGCTATCCATCCATCCATCCATCCATTAAAAGTAAAGAATTAAAGTTTAACATCACCACAGAAACATGCATTTGGAAATTAAGCATATTCTTACATTTCAATCCTTTCTCTCAGAGATCAAAATAATTAATTCTTTCTCTCTACAACTGTAATTAAAAAAACAGCATACTATCACCTGACAATATAAAATGTTAATTCTCTTTTCATAAACTTTTATTTATATGACTTATCTTTCAGTCAAGCCACCATAAACCAGTATTTGGCAAAATTTATCAATCATATGCTACATGTACATTAAAAATAATTACTCACTTCAATTGTCTTGGCCAGTAACTGTGTGTGAGGAAAATTATGCTTGTATACTTCATTAGCAACAGTGTTTACATCAATGGCAGCCACCACTTGTCCAGGTACAGAGCTTTCTGTAATGATAAACAGAACATCTTAAAAAGAAAAGTCTATAATATCAGTTTTTTCATCATAGAGAAAAGTCAAAACAGTGGGATTTAGTAGTACATTTCCACATGTCCTCAATTATCTAGCCAGATCTCAGACTGTCTGTGGAGGGCCAGGCAAGGGAGAACCAGGCATGAAGTAGAATATTTGAATAAGTACTTTGGGTTCATCTCTCTAACAGCATTCCAGTGCTAAAAATAAGATTAAATTTTAATTGTTACCTCTTATATTTTCTTTCCTCTTGCATTAAAAGCCACACTTATGAATTTAAAAGAAAGTTTTCTTAAACTAAAACAAATAAAATATACATGAAGTGTAGTATGTTCTAATCACCATCAAATTTGGAACTTTATATAAATTAATTACCATGTGTTCCTCTGCTTGTACTGAGGCAAAGCTGCTGCACCACTGAAAACGCTTTTAGTTATGCTGCTTTAAGTAATAGCTTTATTGAGACCCAATTCACATACCACAAAATTCACTTCCTTAAAATTTACATAAATTTTTAAATGAGGTAAACAATTAATTGATTTTTAAACATAAAAGTTTCACAGAACAAAAACTTTAAAATTTGACAGACCAGGAGAAAAATGAGAATAAGGGAAGTAATTATAAAGCGATACTTTAGTGCCCATCTGTCTTACTGATGAAGCATCTTCAAAACACTTTCCGACTCAGATAACTTAACATATTCTTTAATAACAGTCAAAATTTGAACTCTGTAATTGTAGCTGTTGCTATATTTTGCAATTCCCACCCTCTTCCTCAAAACGTGTATAAAACTATTTATGTATAGACCCTGTCACAAATCAGGAGAAACAGTTTTAAAAATAAAACTAGTTGAAACTTAACAATGCCATTAGAGAAAACATATTATATAGTAGATCCACAGGGCCTTCTCTTTAATAACCATTTGCTGGACAACAGTTAGCTTAGCTAAACATTAAAGGGAGGTGGTACAGCATAAGGAGCTATGGCTCATGCGGCAGAAACCTGGAACTAAAACCAGACCACAGGAGACAGGGCAAGGGGAAAGGCTCACTCATACATGCTCAGAAACAATCACAACCTTACACTGAGGCCTAGAAGAGAGGAGGCCAGAGAGAAAACCCTAAGGGACCTGCTGGAAAGTAAGGTCCTTGGATCTTAGGCAGGAGTCACTGCAAACTGAGGCCTAGCTGGTAATAACAGAGGTAGCTGCCTCCAATTAAATTAAATTCGGTAACTAGTTACTTTCCTCAGTATAAAAGTTAAGGATATAAATTATACCTTTGTCAAAGGAATCAGAGATATCTTGAAACACAAACCAAGAAAGCCTCTAAACAAACAAGGATTAGTTTGCAAAATCACAAAATTGTTATAATTAAAATCTAAGCTACAATTAATCACTGCTGAGAGCTCAGAATTAAACTTCACTGTACTATATTATTGCTTTACTAGGTAAGATAAACTCGGAATGATACAGCCTGCTTGCATTTCCACTAAATATGCAGAAACAGGGACTGCTTGGAGCTGGTTGACATGACTTTCATCTTTTCCAGGCTGGATGAAAATCCAAAGTGATGTGCTGAATCTATACTATTATCGATAATTAATTTTATGCTCTTGTATTATGTGCCTGGAGGGAATAAAACCGAGAAAAAGCAACTGCCATATGAGTATTTCACACAGAGATTTGAAAACTAATGAACTGAACATTCTTTTTCTCGGGAAAGAATGGATTCTTAAAGTCAACAAGCAAATGCACAGTTTGCATGGATTTTAGACTGTTCTAAAATTAGGGCTTTTGTGTGTACTAAAAAGTTATTTCCATGGATATATATACAGGTTGAGTATACAGTGAACCCCTGACTTACGAGCTTGATCAGTTCCCGAGGGCTGTTGGAACTCAAGTTGGTTGTAAGTCAGTACAGCTGAGATCTGGGTGTTTACCTGGGTACACAGTATAGACAACAAGAGGTAGATGAATCTTCCATTAACCTAATTAACCCAAACTGTTTGTATGTCAGGCTGGTCATAACTTGGGGGTCCGCTGTACCTTATCCAAACTGCTTGGCAGCAAGTGTTTTAGATTTCTTAAAATTTGCATATACACAATAAGTTTAGAGATGGGACCCAAATCTAAACACAAAATACATTGTGTTTCATGTATACCTTATACACATAGCCTGAGTATAATTTATACCATATTTTTGGCTCACATGCATTTGTACTGCAACGAATCGTGTGAGGGTCAGGTGTGGAATTTTCTACTTTGGGTACCCTGCCAGTGATCAAAAAGTTTTGGATTTTGAAACATTTCAGAGTTTGGATTTTTGGACTAGGGATGCTCATCTATAGTAAGAAATTGCTGACACCAATTCAACTTACCCTTCAAAACAATTATTTTTGAGTATGAATGTATTTCTAAGAAAAAGTTGTAAATAACAAGGGTAAAAAGCAAGCCTGTCAATTTGGTCAAATTTAAATCGAGCTCCAAAGGCAAGTAGTCTTGCTATTTTCTAATATGTACTTCAAATCTATAGTCTCTGAAAATCTTTAAGTGGAATACACATATTCTGAAAATGTATTTTGACACATCTAAGTGAGCGTAACCCTATACAATTTTACCTGTGTGAATTCTCTCACTTAAGTGATCCAAGAATAGTAATTCTCAGAGGAGAGAGAGAATTGCGAAAAGGGACCCACCAGGATCCTTTGGTAGTAGTGGGGGAGAGGATGTACTTTCAGTACTTTGATCTATTACTTCACCTGGATTTTATTCATGATATTTCAGTTATTATTCTGAAGTTGTTTTATCAATGAGAAGCATAGTTTAAAAAAAGGTGTGACATCATAGTCAGAGAAACTATAAATTATTTTAAAAGATGTCAGATTGGATCTGTAGGAAAGGAAAAGGACATCATGCTTCTATTTATGAGGAATGAATTTTAAAAGACAAATTTATAATTAAATAAAAATAATTTTCCTTCTTTTTCTTATTACTCTTTCTGGGAAAGCGTTAAGGAATAATTTAATAATCATCATACTCTTCCTGACTTTCCTAGGCAAAAAAACCCCCAAAAAAACCAAACTTAATTGTCCATGCATAGTAATTAAAATGAGTGAAAATCAATATTTATAAAGAGTAAATGTACTATAATCCCAGCACTCTGGGAGGCTGAGGCAGGAGAATCCAAAGTTCACACCTAGCATGAGCATGGATAACTTAGAGGTTTAATGAAACCTTGTCTCAAAAGGAAAAGGGCCTGGGGATGTAGCTCAGCGGGAAGGACCTGGGTTCAATGCCCAGTACAGAAAAAAAGTTTTTTTAAGATAAATGTAGAATTAATCAGCTTGCTTTGGAATAAGAAAAAGTAATTTTGTAAATTGTTTTCCTCATCTCATTTACATATTTTCTGATCTATATCTTGTATAGGTTGAGTAAATACTTGAATTACCTAATTACAATCACACCTGAGACATTTAACCAGGTATGTTAACATTGACATCTAGCTGTGAAATGGGAGATCAGGTGAATACATCCAACCAATGTCTATTCACTTCCACCCAGAGTATTGGCTCAATTTGGAACAAAAGTAGTAAGCAAAGACTTGTAAGGGTTCTGAAATTAAAATCATTGTCAAATGTTTTTTATCACTATTAGCAAAGTATATTTCTTTGTTCTTAAAAGGTTTTCCATTTCAAAATTGCTAATAAATTATTTTGATGAATAAAATAAAAAATACATGTAAACATTTTTTTTTTCAAATATCCAGTTTCCTTAGGAAATTTGAAGCCTGGGATTTAGCTCAGTGGTTCCACCCCCTGCCCTGCAAGCGCAAGGACCTGAGTTCGATCCCCAGTACCAAAAAAGAAAAGAAAATTTGGGTCAAGACATATTTTAGATTACTGCTACCAACATCTGGCTAAACACAGGAGACCATCAACCAGAATGTTGCTAGGAATTGCTTGAGATCCGTAGGCTGATTATGTTCTTAACACTGCATCTTAGGAGAATGAAAACATTATTTTTCAACAAAATACAGAAAGAAAGACCAGAGCTGGCAAAGTGGTACCAGACAGAAAGATGCCAAATGAATGTTTTAAAAAAAAAAGAAGCACACTGAGGGAGTTTACACGGCATGGAAAATAAACATGTTATGACAGACAGTACAGTGAAATTTAAAAGAGGTCATGAAGTTTGAGGAAGACGTTGAGAAAGGTCGTTAAGGCATGTCTTTCCCGGAAGTGGCTAGGAAAGCCCACTTAAAATGGCGCTCATGTGGTCAGGGAGCTGGTGCAGCCTCCTCCCGTTCGCACTCCCCCCTCTCTTTTCTCCCTTCCCCTAACTGCTACTCAGACATGGAGCTTTCCTTGGAGGAAAAGAAAGGGAGGTAATCTAACCAGCTACCTTTGGCAGGGGCCACAGAACACTGTAGAGCACTGCTATTACCCTTAGTCCTAAGGATGCAGAGAGCCTCAATTTCCAGGGGCATTCACTGGTCCCTTAGAAGATTTGTTTCCAATACAAGTAGTTGAAATTAGAGCTGACAAAATTCTAGAGCAGCCCCGTTCAATAGAACTCCCTGTGATGAAGGGAATATTGTGTATCTGTGTGGCCCAATATGAGAGTTGCCACCCACATGTAGAAGCACTTAACATGTGACAAGATGACTGTGGAACCGAATTTCTAATGCAGGATCATCTTAATCAGTTTAAATTTACATAATTACAGATGGCTCGTGGCTACCACGTGGGGTAGCACACCTTTATACTCTGAGCTATCAGCTGAACTCTGGAACAGAAGAAAGCACCATATAGGGGGGAAAGCACAGGGTCAGAGACATTTGTGTTCTGACATTTACTCTACTAACTATGCAGCCCTAATTTACTTCTCTCTAAGCCTCACTTTTTCATCAATGAATTGGACACAAAAACTGTTCCCATAAAGAGCTGCCATAAAAAGTAAATGAAAGAAAGCCTA